TGGGAGACAGGAAGTGATATAAAGCAGGATATACCATTAAATATATTGCTTGAATCAGATAATGGAATTAGAAAGGACCCGAACAACGAGAGAACGTACACAACAAATTAACGACGGGGATTTTGCGGAAAAAATATACCACAATTGGTGAAGTAGGTTTTGGAAAGAAACAAGCTATAATAGTTGCCTGTGCGTTTTGGAGTCAATATTTTTATTATTATTAGCAGTAAAAAATAGAAATTTCTTTAGAACAGTCGCAGTTATAATTACAGAACCAACAGCAACATCACCAGTAGATGTCAGCCTTTCAACAGCAACTATTTAAACCAGTTTTGGGCAGACTTTTCACTCAACCAAACAATAAGGAATCCATTTATGATGCAGACAATGGTACAGTAATGGACATTTCAGAAGCATGTCCTGTAGAGGGTTTAAATGTGTTTATACCTGAAGCAAGTTGTAATATTGGTAAATTACCCGGCTCACAGCAAGACAATATCTTGCTAAATGCACAAGAAGTTGTGACAATACCAGATGATCAAGAAACAAAAGATCATGTAGATGAAGCCCTGGATCCAGAATTAAACGAAGCACTAGTGGCTCTAACTCTGAAAATAAACTCCAACCAGGAGAAAACTATAGTTCACGTGATATTGGTCGGGACTCATACCCAGAAAATAACTGGAGCAGTACGACGAACGCAATTGTACAAAATAAAACCCAAAATTAATGAGAGACAGAAGCTTATAATGAGCCAATTTCTTGTCCGATTTCTCATGTCAATTTACCAGATATGGGTTCTCATAATGATTCACATAATTTCGATCAAATTTCTTATAAAAATGGGTTAGCTATATCAGCTGAATCAAATTATGGCTCAAAATCTAATCTCATTTTGTTAGATGCTGATTTTCCTAGTGACACTTTATCCACCAATGAAATTCTTAATGAATTGAAGGAAAGTGTTTGAAAAGAATCAAACCGTAATAACTTCAAATCTAATGTCGTTCATCATCACCATCTAATCATTTCTAGTGGATCTTCATTCAATATGAGAAATGTTTTAAATGAAGTCATACTTATTGTAAATTTGAGATATGAGGATCTAACATTATTTCGTGGGGGAGGATAATGTTGAAGAATTTAAAGTTAAAGACAAATTTTTTAAAATCAGGATCTAAACTTCGGATCTTGATAAAAGGGGAGGTGTTATATGCTAGCGATGATCAAATTACGATTAACTTCTGAGAACTATTAGTGAACTAATATTATCTACATATTATTATTTGGATGGTAGTTGGAGGTAGTCAATAGGAAACCCTGGACCCGGGTTTCGTGCTACTTGGCACTCGTCAGCAAGGACTAGACAAGCATGACATTGATCACCACCCAGTGATCAATCAATTGTGATTGCAGTACGGGAGTGAATAAGTCACATTCCGATTGGCGAATAAATCACGTGACAACTAGCTGGACTTAAAGTCACAACAATAAAGATATGAAGAGTGACACAAAAAATGAACGATATAGTCAGAACCTTAGAAATGTCTATACAAATTAATCATTCCAATCCAATGCGGATACAAATCTATTGAGGAGTCTCAAAGCAGGTTATAGAATTAAGCGAAAGTTCAGTAAAATTTTGTCCTATGACCAATTTCTTTCATGTAATTCATGTGTATTTATTAGTGCTAAATACTCTGAATCTGGTACATTTGGACACATATAGGCGCTTTGTAAAACTGCTGTAAATTTTACCCCAGGCAATACTAAATTTTATCATTCGGATCCTATTAATTAGGTTAGTTCTAATGATCATATATTATCTATATTTACAACCAACAATAATTCACTTTATATTCAGAAACGACCATATCTGTCCAGTGGTGCTTTTCACGATTTTATAGTTGAAACTAGCAGTAATAAGTCCATTATTTTGGTTGGTAAGATGAAGTCATTAAGTTCTGACGCTACTATTATGCTTACCAAAGTTTCTATTTTGAGTATAACTGGTCATAACCCTTCTATTCTTGGATGTTGTAGTCTGTTGATCAGAGATAATAGATCTTCAACTATAAGTTATGGATTTCTCATCATTGAGCCTGGACCGTCTATACTATATGTAGAAGAGTTAAGAATGTTTCAGGGTCAGCTTTTTTTATTGACTACTGGAAATGATTCTAATGAGGTGTTTAATAAATTGCTGACCACGGAGTTCAAGGGCAGAAAATTACTCACAACTTCAAAGTCCCTTCATTCTCATATACAAGCAGCAGATTTCAAAACTTTAAAAACAAACGCGATTTCTATTACTGCTAAAAAGTTCAAAGACCCGGAGAAGAAAGCATAGAAAGGTTTTCAATGAAGAATTACTAGACTGTACTCAAAAGAAACAATGATAAAATTGATTAAATGAAATAATTTTATGGAAGGACTCCTTTTCCATAATCTATGAAAGGTCTGCTAAAACAGGCCAATTAATCTGCGGTTCATATAAGAGCTCGTCACAACGACCGAATGCGTTACAAGGAACCAGGTCGGTCTGTAGTGGCACTAATTCATAACCACACAATTCTGGAAGCTGGACATATAATTACTGAGAACATTGATATTTAACATGCAGCATTTGGAAAAGGTCCGTGATTGTGAATGCGGAAAGATTCAATCGAAATGGGTTGAATCGATCATACAGGCGTGGTCACATTGCCTCTTGCCTTTCGTATCAAATATATTACTCTCTTCCCAGTTCAAACGTGTTCTTCAAAAATGCTAAACGACGTATTGTTGATGGTCATGTAGAATGAGTCAGTATATAGAACAATGGAACTTCCACGTCAGATCTTATAGATTAGGTAGTCACACTATGATAGGTCTAAAATTTTAAGATTATTTCTATAGTAGCACTAGTACCAAAGCAATTAATAATTCTACGAATCTGTTTCAGTATCAGTTGTTAATCCTAATACTAATGAGTATACTCTAGATAATCCAGAGTGTAATCCAATACATTGCCAAACAGACACGATGGACCTAAGGGTAAGAAATACAGTTGATTGCAGAAATTTTGGTTCTCAAGTAAGCTGTGGCGGATGTGTCATTTGTACAAAACAAGAATTCCTTTGTACTTAATTGCTCACTGATTACGAATCCCAAAGACAATACGTTCGCTTGTGCTCAACTGGTTCTGCAGTATTTCAGAAATTCCTAGTTATTATCAAAATGGCAGTTTGTGGAGAATGTGGTAATTTTAATAGTTGAATTCATGAGTCGATATAAGCTAGATCACCATTGAAAACCTGGAAGCAATGGATGGCCATTTCATCATGGTATAGGCCGCTTCAGCGCGAGACCGAAGGTCCTGAGTTCGAGTGACGAGCGCTGCTGAGAAGTCCGGTATTATTTTACATAATTCTAACAACCAAAAGTACATATTGGTTATCGAGGTAGAGATGCAGACACAATGACTAGTAATGAATTGTTCGTTGTTCGGACACAATGATCTAGATGTATTTACTAGCCTGGACTAAAAAACTTCTGCGTGCTGCCGTACAATAGAACCCTTTGGTCGTTACTTTGGGCTTTCATCCACTTTCATGTGAAAAGATTTTCTGGCTTTATACATCGTTCTAGTTCGGCTAAAACTCAGGTACTGCGTACAACAGCGAGTTCCTGTCTAATCGAAGATGAGTTCTCAGGAAAGATTACAAGAACATCAATTAAGCTGGTTTATGTAATATGTCAGCTAACTTATGACGAAAGACTGACCGAACCAAAACTATTTTGCTCCAGTATCATTATACTGTTACCGAACGATAATGGAATATATGAAGTATAAATCTTACCTAACTTTGTATACATTCTGTCGACTGAGTCAATACAACGTAGAGATTGAGATTGAATACGAGTAGTTTCGGAAAAGCATGTTTCAAACTTCCATTTATGAAGTACACTGTAAGGGGAGCAGAGATATTAAAAGCTTTCCTGTCTGTTACATGCGTTAACATAACCCAAAAATGACAACGTACTGTGTGACCAAGAAGGCAGGCATTGGATAAAATAATAAGTGTACAAATATAGGCAGACTAACATAAGACGTATGTGTGTGAAACTACAAGGACACGAAAAAAAGAGGCATATTTAGTGAAGGTTGTAAATTCTAATGGAGCGAACGAAGTTATTATGAAAGGCGAAAATTAGTCAGCGGTTACACTCTGTCGAAGTTACAAATGTTTATGTTGAAGCTACAATAAATCATGTTGGCGTATAATGGGAAACAATCTACTAAACGTACTTCACTTGCCACTTGTCTGCTAGGACAAAAATTCACGGACTCACTCGATGATCATTTACTACCTCTGAATAAATTGCTTATCAGGCGACTACCGACTATGTCGTCGCACTGTTAACCAGAGTTAATCTCTTCCCCAACGCATAGTCAAAGCTCCGTATTCCGACACACTCGGATCAATTAGGAGGTAACCAACCGTTATTAATATTACAGGCTATCAATCCAAATCAAATTAAATCTGTCTACCATACACAGGTCGCTCCCTATAGGTATGCTATCCACGGAATTTAGCAATCTGGTTGTACAAACCTGTCAACGACTGACGTTATACAAACATAAGAGTTAATAGGGATTCAAGCACTAAGCTCATTATGATTACAAGTTAAGTACATAAGCAACAATAAATTACCGTAGTATGACAGAAGCTAGCTTTTTGAATACTGGCTCGATGTTTACGTCACCCAAGCAATCTCCAGTACAAAATTACAAATGACATAACATAAGACTGTTAAATACCATATACGCGCTGAAAACATTGAATGATAGACTTACCTTGAGTCGTTCACAAGTAAACGTGGTTTGTTTGTTTGACTGTACGACTTTCCCCAATCAGCTGAGCGAATGTTTGGGATGTGCGGGCTTTGAACAACCGTCAAGTTAGGGTCTAGGCGGTTGTCTTACCATCTATTGTTGCTTCATATGCCTCGTTGATATGAAGCATAAATTATCAACCTGTGATTCTCCATCATCCTTTAAGCTTCGCAGGTTGGAAGGAGGATGCTCACGGATCCATCATAAGGGAAACTTAATCAACTCACTACTTGACCTCAGTGCTAGAGTTGTAGCTGAATATCTACCGTTTGAATATGTGGAACGCATGTTGGTTCACATACCAGAACCTGTACAGGAGAAAATCATTTACTACTCTTTTCCTCAAAGGGATAGTGATATTTATACATATGCATCCTTTCACTCGAAGACTGATAAAACCCGTGACAAGATTCCATATTATCAAGGACTCGAATACTTCCTGAATAACTATGTGGAAAATGTTATTCAGATCGGTATGTTGCTTACGAAATCTTATAATTTACAGGATTTCACTTGACTGGATCTGTGAGGCAACAGCCTACAACATGCATTTCCGAAACGGAAGGAAACAAATTTAAAGTTTCTATAACTTTTGACAGGTGATTTGAATTTATCTTTACGAATTAAATGTAGATGCAAAATAATATCGGTTTGCTGCGACTGTGGTAATAAAGGGTTGTCATGGTGTCCTCATGTTGTTGCTCTCGCCTTGTTCCGAATAAGACAGCCCCATCTCGTGGATTATCGTTCACCTATTTCAGGTAATAACATTCGTTCAAGGCCTTTAAATTTAACGTTGCTTGCCACTAATTATTTGAAACTCATGTCATAACATATAACCAACAGTTTATGTGTTACGACTAATTTAATTTTATATATTTTGAAACTAGTGGATTGTTTCTTAAATGAGATTCTAAAGTTTATTCAGAATTATGAAATAAGTATTGTTAGGGCACAAAGTAGATTGTACCTTTATCAAAGGTTCTTGACTTCGTTTCAGTGACTAGTATTTAAATTTTTTTAAATCTATACGACAGTCATTCCTTATATCATCAGTGTAGCTAGTTTTTAACTAATCGATGCGAATTCTATCGGTGTACGTTTATCTCCTTCATATATTTGCAGAAGATAATCGAGGGGTCAATAATACCTTTACCCACAAGTAATTTCAAGTCCTAAAGAGCTGTGTGTTGTCATTTTGAAGTCTGTTAGCCAACCCCACTGTCTTAAAGTCAAGTTAATGTAAAGGAAAAAATGAGACATTATTTGCAAGATCATTGTCATGTCTAAAGTCGACACTCAGGGGGTCTTTATTTTATTAAATTAGAGACATTCCTACAACTGTACGTATCGTACTTCAAGAGCGTTTGTCCAACGTATGTTCCAAATCCACTCATCGTTTAAAGAGATACCTGTAACTGACACTAAACTTTTTATGTTCGTGGTAAAAATGTAAGTGTCACTTCAGGGCGACATAACTAAGTACAAGGACCTCATTTCTATACTTCTAAGTACTTCCAGGTGCCTAAAGATACTACAGCAATCTTTTGTGATTTTCCAGGTGTTGATGTAGTACTGAGTTTTGAAGTAAAAATTTCATTTCTAAACCTATTCTCACTATTAGTTACGTTTGTGCTGTTCAGCTGTTTGTCTTAAGAACTAGGAAAAATCGCTATGTTCATTTTAAACTAGTAATATTCTTTGTTTATACTCCTGCTAATTTCGATCCAAATGACATAGATTGGTTATCATAAGTATTCTCTACCGTCCTCAAGGGGCCAGACGCTCATATACTGTAGTATTAGCAGGGAACTTCGTCAAGTGAGCATACAAAAACATGAAGAGACTGATGTAAGGCTTTCGACACAACAACCCAGCAAATATAACTTTTCTGTAACTATATTTTGGCAGCCAATCATTCCTAGAAAGTAGTAACTATACTAATAAATGATGTTTCACCTGCTAATTACTGACATCGGATCAGTAATAGATATAAGTAGTCCGTACTATTCATTTATTTGAACACAAATATTGGTACAAAGGGGCATTGAACACATGCGCCACACAAGTCACTTGATTTGTGTTTTGGCTGTGATAATGCTTGGGGTGCCCAAACCGAAGCATATGGTTTTCTCAGGTGGCCACACCCCGAGTCTTCGATCTAAAGGTATAGTCCACAAGGTAGTGGAGCAACGTAAGGAGATGCAATCTCATGGTAGCCGGTGACCAATAATTGGCTCATACACCATTTGTTCCTTCAGGATACTGGAGCCCATGTGCACCATTGGTTTGGAATGAGGATTTTCCAACTCCCCTAGGTGGATCCTCCATATCGGCCAACCCGGTTAAAGCGTCAGACATTCACTTATCGTCCTCTGAATTTTGTAAACAACAGTGATGCCGCGAGAAGGCAGTGAGTAGGACTTCCCTGGCAGTGGTTGTATGCACATGGCCATGTAAGAGCATTTCGAGATGTAGATCTAACTCGCTCCACCCTCGGCAGTACCAGGGCTCTTGGGGGCAGTCCATACTACCATTAGTTACAAAGAAGAATCAATAGATATACCGTCACTACCTTTGAAACATGCACTTAAACTCTAATAGTGCTCTAGTATGAACACGTTTATTTTGCCACAGCAATCACAACAGCGCCTTATCTCTGATTTCAGATCAAGAATGCTCTTGAAGGAAGAATCGTATATGAATTAAAATTTTATTCCAAGTTAATCTAGAATAATATGTGAACATCGCCTCGAGTTGCTATGCCCTATTAGCACAGAGGGACGAAATTGTCAGGTCAAGTTCCAGAATAGTAATAGTATGAGTGATTTAGAGAAAGGCTAGGCATCGAATATATGATTCAAGGAAATATAACTTAGTGAAATTAAGAAACTTGGTGAAAATTGTAAATTAGTTAATTAGTCTGTGAATCTTTATCGACTGAAGTATGTGTTATAAATATTCAACCATCGCCTACTCCGACCTATGGTGGTCGTTATCGAAAGCGTTGCTTCAAGAAAGGGTGAGAGCGGTCAAACTAAGTATGATTTCAAACCTTGAACTCATTAACTTTTGACTAAAGGCAGGTTAGTAGGTACATACTTATTGGTCAGGTCTCTCAACAACTATTGGTCTTAAACGACATGAAATCTGACATATATGTGCATCGGCTCAAGTTTCACACCCCCTTCAACACAACGATATGAAGTTATCACAATAAATGCCGAAGTAGTAAGAGTAATAATGGTATCAGGAGAAGTACTAATCGTTTGATTTTCTACTACCATCACTGCTGGGATTTAGATTCTTTTGCTTTCTATCTTTTTATTTTTTTTCCCTTTGTACTTATATAAAACGCAAAAACTCAAAACAATGTACATATGTCTCACGTTGCACATGGTTCATGACTAGCTGTAGATTTCGTATGAATTTATCAGCACAGTGTATGTTTGTATGTATATTTTGGTAGGAAAAGTAGTTTCTTTATATTATGTGATCTTACATTACCCTAACTCCGTGAGTAAGGTTAAGCTTTTTAAGTGAAAGTATAAAAACAACAAGTCAGTGACCTGTGGCAACTAAGGGACGAGTATACTGTGCGGCATTTCGTTCTGTTTTACTTTACGGTTGCGGAACATGGCCATTAAGAGTAGAAGATACTCGTAAACTACTAGTATTGGATCACAAATGTCTTAGAAATATTGCTCGCATCTACTGGGGTCACCGGGTAAGTAATAGGGAGGTCAGACAGCACGGTATTAGGGAATGATGGCGAATCAGTTGATGAGGTTGGGAATCTTCATCGACTGAGATGGTTGGGCCACGTGTTACGTATGCCTGAACACCGATTACCACGACGCGCAATGCTGACTAGTGTTGGAGATGGTTGGAAGAAAGTTAGGGGCAGTGAAACCAAAATGTTGCATCAATGCTTGAAGTCACTGACTTCTAGTCTTAGTCAGGTTGGTAGATGCAGACTGCTTGGTTGTGGTCCGCGTGACTATCGTAACTAATGGTTGGAGACTCTTGGTGACATGGCTCAGAATCGATCACAATAGCGTCGGTGTATACACTCTCTGTCTTCCCTTATACTATGAGATTAAAATCATTTCATATCTTTCTTTCTACGAACTAATTCTTTCTTCCTGTATTATATACTTATATGCAATCTTTCTTTTGTATATTACCACCATTGAGTTAACTACTACGAATCCGGTGTTCATCATGTCGTGCTAATGAGGTGTATCAACTTGGACCAATGCATATATATATATATATATATATATATATGCCTGGTCCTACGTTATAACTGACTGACTGTGGCATATGTGTCGGTATAATTATCAAACTGTAGGTATATACATGATGCATTTCTAAGATTTCCAACTCTTTTTATTGATTTCATGATATAACCTCTAGAAATTATGCTATAGGCAGTTTTCATAATTAAGAAAATCTTAATATCAATTTAAATAAAATACTTATAATGGCGGTCATTAATATCAATTTTTGTGTATAGTAAATTAGTCTTTGTTCAATAGTAATAATAATAATAATAGTGAAGAGAGTTTTTGTTTTCTTAAAAAAACATCTAAAGTTTACACCTTATGGGAATACATTGCCATTCCTATTCTTCTTCCAATGCCTTTAAACTACTGCGTCAGTCTGTTTTTGTCTTTTCCTAATGTACCATCATTATACGTAATTCAAGCGTAAAATAATTGTATTTGTAATTTTCTTTCTTTTCTAAATTGCTTAATTGTTTTATCTTTTCTTAATATGTATCTATATGTCTGTGTATTTGCTCTAAATTCTCTCTATATATATATCTATGGTATTATTGATTAGTCTAACATTCCTAATATTCCTAGTTTAGAATTTGTTCTACCATGATAATTGTCTTATATATATATATATATATATATATATATATATATATATATATATATATATATATATACATATATTATTAGACACGGATAGATTCCTACATACTTGCTCTGTGTTGTCTGTATACTACTTCATTTGTGTTTTTATTCCATTCTTCATTAATACATTCTACACTTAACATCATTAGACTTGAATTGAACTAATTTTGCAATTCATCTTTTAAACGGTTAATAATGTCTTCATTCCTCCTGTTAGTAATGCTGGCAAATAATCATATATACATTTTTACCATTTTGTTGTTGTTGTTGTGGTTGTGGTTGTTGGAGGTCTTTAGGTAGTAAACAATTCGATTATGTTTAATATGCGTATATATACATATATATATCACGTGTACATATCCGTTTTATTATTTTGATGATGATCTAAAATAGACAATATTCACTTCGTGACCTATATTCATTTTTTTTGTTTACTATTTTATCTTTCGTTAATCACTAAACATTGAATAGAATGTATTAGTGGGGAAAAAAACTACTCCTCAGCACTGTGTTAAAACAACAGCATCTAGGTACAGTATATACGCACATCAGTGGTCGTACCCTAAGTTAGTGTCTCTGAGACGGACATATTTTTGTGCATTATATAATTTGTGTTTTTTTTTGTTTGTAAATAGTATCGTGTAATAAAGGTTGATTGAAATCGATCATCTAAACCATTAGTAAAGCTACATCCTAAATGTTCGATTTCAGTAAGGTGTATGCATATGTTGTCCAAAGTATTACATTATAAAGTTAAACAATTGTCTTCATATTATTTCTTATATGTTTGTGGAATGATTAATTCAAGCTTATAACAAAGGTCATCTTCCCTA